AACTGCCTGTCAGTGACAGTACAGCAGGCTCTGGGTCAGAGGGTTCCCCCCTCCGTCCAGGCCAGTTTGCGCACAGCAGTAGGGAGCGGCGGCGGGGGGTGGGGCGGTGGATTGGACCTGCTTTTGTAACACGGGATGAGGCTGCATGCTGCCTCGCCCCCTTCACCTGCATGTGCATTGCACCTGCACATTGCATACATGTATCTGACTAACTTACAAGACATGTCAACTTATTACATTTTTAATAGATTGCTTACATATGCATACATTTACATGTACACACACACACACACACACACAATAATAATTTCTATGTTCTCACTCAAACCTCTGGAAAAACTGCAAATGAATTTTTATTTTCTCAGGGGATTATAGACACTACCATTATGGAATATTCATTGAATGCACACTCTTTTAACATTCCCTCCATGAAAACTTAGCCTAGCTGAGTTTTATTATTTTTTCTTTTTTTCCATAAAAGCACTTAAATTTCTGTCAGCAAACTGAACTGCTAATAATTTTCTACCATAGAATTATCTAGCACTGTGATTTTTTTTTTTTTTTACCAAGAAGTTGCTATTTTACACAGCATGAATCCAAGCCCTCATAGTAATTGTTCCTGGACAACTATATAGGCATGTTTTCGTCTGTATATGAGGTTTGGGGGGAGGAAGAGGAGAAAACGCATGCTCCTCCCTCTCCCTGCCTGAGAAAAGGTCAAAATAAAACCTGCCACACACAATGGATCAAAAGTCAGTGGGAATCATACCCACTTATGTCAGAATTGTTCTTGGCCTCAAGCCATTTCCCATTACGCCACTCCCTAGAAGGATTGTGTGTATTCAGACTTTTAAATAAAGCATTCTGAAGTTTCACTGACTCCTGTGCAAACTCAAAAAGATATATTTAACACAGTGATTTCAAAATGCGGTTCTGGAATTCTTTGTTGAGAGATTGTTCCGTGGTTTTAAGAGTTTGCTGGCCAGCCCTGGCTTTTTGCCTCTTATAGAGGCAACTACTTGCTCTCCCCATGAGTTTCTCATCAGTGTTAAGGAACAAGTTATCCTTTGAAGGCAAGAAGGACATTCATTGTCCTTTGGGATATCCTTTCCCATCTAAGCTAGAGAGGCAGGGCAAGCTGATGATTGGCTCTTCTTTGAGAGGGCTTTCCAATCTCCTTGGTTGGCTTTGCCTAGCAACTATGAAGTAGCTTTACCCCAAAGAAAACTAATTTCAGTGTTTTTCATTTTTAAATGTTTCTGTTATTGTTTTCCTCTTCCTTTCCAGCTCATCCATCATAAGTTAGGAAGGGAGGGTTTGCCTTAGCAGCCTACTTCTCAGAGAGCCCTTGGTTTCTGCAGGGCATATGTTCAAAAGACTTTCCAAAGGACTCCAGCAATCATCTGAAGTGGCAGGTAGCAGCCTAGAATGTTAAAGAAGAGATGCCATCTCTGCATCCATATTACCAGGACTTCTTGAAGGGGTGGCACATCTCAGCCTATCCAGCTTACATCTATTTTCTAGCTGAAATGTATGCTCATTGCACTCTTAGACCTAGTTTTGTGGAGTCTGTGACTATGGTGCCGTTGAAATAGTTTATCCTCAAGACAGTCCTTCTCATAGACGGAGAATCACTGAATGTGAGTCCTTTTCTCTCATGCAAACCTAGGCAGTATTCACATTCACCTTTCAGGCAGGTGCTCCTTTTGTATCCAAAGTGGGTAGCCTTCCCTAAGTCACAGGAAGCAGTTCTTTCCACCTCTTTTCCAAATGCAGACCAGCACCACGAGAAGAGTCAGCATAGTGGGAGAGTGGAGGAGAGCTCTCAGATTATACCAATTGAGGATGGTAGATTCTTGAAAGCCTCAACTGTGTCCTTTCATGATTAGATGTTCAGAGGATGGTCTAAGATCACATCGCTAGCTGATTTAGAGAGTGGATTGAATTGAAATGAAATGCAGAGCTTTAACTAAAACAACCATTATAGGAGTTCATATAGGCCTTTCTCTGGGAGGGGTGGCAGTACCATCTCCCCTCCCCCGACAGTTCTGTTCTAAATCTGAAGAGTAGCAACATAGGCATCAGTCCACCCGTTTGCAAGGTTGATCTGTTTGTTTCTGCAGATGCTGCAGTTTGTAGAAGGCTTCTGCAGAAGGCTTTCCATTATGTATGTATGTATGTTTGTTTATACAAGCATTTATATCCCATTCTTCCGCCAAGCACTCAGGACGGCTTACACAATATAAAATTACAATAGTACAATAATAAAACCTCAATTATTAAAACAATAAAACAACACATCATGAACTTGGAAAAGAATAGAAAATGCAACTGTGGAGAGAGGGAAAAAAATCTTAAAACATCTAAAACCCTTGATTATTAAAATGATGGTTGAATAAAAAGGTCTTTATCTGGCACTGAAAAGAGTATAACATCAGCGCAAGGCAGACCTCTCTGGGGAGCACATTCCATAGTCTGGGCGCAACTGCTGAGAAGGCCCTCCTCCGGGTAGGCATCCTCCATACTTCCTTCAGAGAGGGTTCCTGGAGCAAGGACTCCCCTGCCAATCTTAAGGGACATGAGGGCATATAGGGAAGGAAGCAGTCCTTCAGTTATTCTGGACCTGAGCCATTTAGGGCTTTATAGGTTAATACCAGCACCTTGAATTGGGCCCAGACTTCTGTTGGGAGCCAGTGTAGCTGATAGAGGACCAATGTTATATAAGAATAATGACTGGCCCCCACCAGCAACCTGGCAGCTCTATTTTGTACCAATTGAAGTATCCAGTCCATTTTCAAAGGCAGCCCCACATAGACCGTGCTACAATAATCCAACCAGGAAGTTACCAGGGCATGAATCACCGTTGCTAGGCAGTGCTTGTCCAGGTAAGGATGCAGCTGATGAACCAGCTGAAGCTGGAAGAAAGCGCTCCTCGCCACTGCTGTCATCTGGATTTTCAGGGATAGCTCTGGGTCAAGGAGCACTGCCAAGCTGCAAACCCGGTCCTTAGAGGGAGTACTACCCCGTCCAGGCCAGGACCAAAATCACTTACCTGAAATCCCGAACCGCCCACCAACAGGACCTCCCCGTCTTATCTTCATTGAGTCTCAGTTTATTGGCCCTCATCCAGCCCATTACCTCAGCCAGGCACCACTTCAGGACAGCCACTGCCTCACCTGGCTTAGATGTAAGTGAGAGGTAGAGCTGCGTGTCATCTGGGTACTGATGATTCCGCAGCCCAAACCTCCTGATGACCCCTCCCAGCGGTTTCATGTAGATGTTAAAGAGCATGGGAGACAAAATAGCCATGGTGCAGAGCTGTAGTCCCCCAGCAGCACCTTCTGGAATCAACTGGCCAGATAGGAGCGGAATCACTGCCAAGCAGAGCCCCCAACTCCTAACCTGGCCAGCCTATCTAGAAGGATACCATGGGCTGAGAGTTCCAGGAGAACCAACAGGGATGCACTCCCCCTGTCCCTCTCCCTGCATAGGTCACTGTATAGGGTGACCAAGGCAGATTCAGTACCATAACCAGGTCTGAAACCGGACCGAAATGGGTCCAGATAATCCCATTATTATCCCAGATAATAAGGGCTCATTAATCTTACTGGGTACGTGCTCATTTTGCTATGATGGATCCTGAAGGGACATGAATGTTACGGGGTAGGCTATACCATCCGGATAGCTAAGACATCCTTTTTCTGAATTTAAGTTAGATTTGACAAGATTCCCTGCTTCATGTGTATAACTAGAAATTATGCAGAGGGGCTCGTCTCTTGTGTTCTGGCGTGAGTATCTGTTCAGTGTGTTTCCTGAATGGAAAGGGACAAGCCCCAGACCAGTGACTCACATGGAAAAATAACAGGCAGCCTCCAGGAGGGAATAAGCTGTAGCCTCTATGGTTTGCTGGTTCCACTGCGCCTCTTACATGGGATCAGACACACTTTATACAAAACTGTAATGGAGCTGAAATGAGAGAGGGGAGGGCAGAGTGGTGAATCATGAAGAGTTTCCTGGGCAGGTGCTTGGCCAACCAGAACCTATTTTTTTATTACTCCTTATGGCTCATAGTTTGGGAATTGCTGCTTTAGCACAAATATTACTCCAAGCAAAAGAAAATCTCTGCTTGATATTGCCAAACCCAACGGAGTATCTGTATATCTAAGATATAGATGCATGTGCTGTTTTGGTTCCTGGTATCATTGTAGGTTTGTGCTTCCACAATATATGGTAGTATATTCCTAAAACTAAAACCTGTCAATGCTAATGGGACCTGAAGTTTATGCTCATCTAGTTTTCTATTAAGTCACCCCGAAAAGCATTTCAGTCAAAAGGGTTCAATCAACAGTAACACTGAAAATATATAGCTATGTAAAACCACAAGTTTTGGCAAGCAAGGAAAAGTTAACTTAGAATCCCACTAAAATTTTATGCATGTTTGCTTTGAAAGAAGTCCTACTGTGTTCAGTGAAGTACAGTGGAGAAGAAAAATATCTGAATTAAAACAATGGCAGGTAAGTACTGAGGTTTTCTGGCAAGCTTCTCTTGGGACAATGTTCTACAGGGTAGATGATGCCATCTCAAAGAATGCTCTCACATACCTTGCCTCATAAAAGGAGGGGACATGGAACAGCTCTTACGCAGATGATCTGAGGAGATAAAAGTCTTCATGTGGGAGAAGGCACTCCCTAAATGCTCTGCTTGTTACAAATGCAAAACTTTTTAGCTACTTCAGACAGTGTTTATACAAATGGAATCTGAGTCTGCAGAATCCTTGTATAAGCCCAACTTTATGCCTTTTCAGGATTGTGGAAAAATGCAGGAGTTGCATTTGAAAAGGGAGTTGTAGGGAGTTTCTCCAGGTTCTTGGATGGCACAGAGGGCTGTGTGTTTGTCTTTCATTAGAAGCCATTTTGGGAGACTTTTAAAAAAGTGAATTCTGCAGCTCCTCAAACCTGATCTCCTTTCCTCTACTAAGATGTCATTTGGTATCTTTCCAGTTACCATAATGTCCACGGATGGGGGCTTTGCAGGAGGCAACAGCGATGCCCAGCAGTGCCTTCAGTCTTTCTGGCCTCGTGTTATGGAAGAGATTCGAAACCTAACAGTGGTAAGAGATTGTGTTGATCAAATTGCAGAACTTTTGGAACTGTTTGAACAGCTATTTCAGAAGAGGTTGTAGGCCTCTTACTAGTAGGATCTGCAAGCAGCTGGTGACTCCCAAGCTAAAGGTTTGGCTTAAGAATTTTCTGGTGCATGTAGATTGGCATCTCCCAGGATTCTCCCCATATAGAGTTTGTCACTCATTTATACAAACGGGAGGGTAGGGAGGGTTTTTTACACCAGCAGAAAGCTGCTTGCTGCTCTACTTCTTTGTGTGCAACTATGCATTTCAGAGAAGATCCCAGAAGGCCTCCCGAACATGGCCAGAGGTAAACTCCTGGGATATTTTATTTTATTTTATTTATTTTATTTTATTTTATTTTATTTTATTTATTAAAACATTTCTGTGCCGCCCCTTGCCGAAGCCTCGGGGCGGCTCACAACATCGAATAAAATACACAATAAATTAAAACAATAACAATTAAAATATATTCAGTAGAATAAAATAAGCCGCCCTGGCCAAATAAAATTCAATAATATTAACATTTGAAATGCTGCTTAAATAAAAAGGTCTTCGCCTGGCGCCGAAAAACAAATAACGACGGCGCCAGGCGGACCTCTCTTGGGTCCAGCATGCAGTTCCTTGCTGACACATGTGTCTAACAGCGCAGCATTGTGCAAATGTCCAGTAGCACGCTTGCTAACAGAACTCTTTAAAACCCCAAACTTATCTTCAGGTCAGACATGTGTTTGGACAAATGTGCAGCGGAGATGGCTGCTAGGTATCTGGCCTTCCCGTGCAGTTTCCTGCTGCCCAGCACACTTCATTTGGGTGTATAAAGGTTCTGATTTCCCTTTCAAATTTACTCATTATGATAGATGCCTCCTTTTGGTATCATGTAATCTCATCGCAACCCAGACAGAGAGTACATACATGGATGCTTTTCTATTAAAATATATGCTCAAAGTGACTTGAATTTAACTACTAAAACAGATAAACAGGATAACTTTTAGAAGCATTTTATATGTACTTTGACAACAGTTAAAAAAGGGAAACTGTGATAATGGCTCCTATTCAGATCATATTGAAAATAATTGAGTGGCTCTCTGGTGGTGTTGAAGCAGTGAAGAAGCTTGGCAGGCCTCTGTCAGAAGATTGCTTCACAATGGGGGAACCTTGCTGAAAGTTTCCAGCATGCCTGTGTGCTTGCAGATCATGCCTCTCCAAAGGGAAATTCATGGAGCAGGTCTGCAGAGGAATGTAGGGATGGAGACATTCTGTCAGAGCTGTTTGGATCACTTTTTGAAAGCTATCTGGCTAGTCCTGCTTTTATTGGAACCATCCATGTGTGCACAAAGCAGAGGAAGCAGTGGAGGTAGGGACTGTGGAGAAGTGAACATGAGCCAGCATAAAGGCCCGTGGCCTTTATGGGGGATTAGACAAATTTCTAGAGGACAAAAAGGTGTTCCTGGTTATTAACCATGCTCTTTAAATGGAATCTTCAGGGTCAAAAGCAGTGTGCTTCCAAATCCCAGGGGCTGTGGGTCAAATTGAGCAGCGGAGTGGCATGCTCTGTTTGTGGAATTCTGTCTGACCAGTTAAAAACTGTTTTCTGCATTAGATGGTCCAGCAGGACTCTTACCTATGTTTGGCCCATCAGGTTGATGTTCTTTGCCTTCTTCAGATTTGTGTAGGAACAGGTTCATCTGCTGAGTTTTGGTGGCTTTTTGCTCACCAGTTGAATTTGGAACTCTTTAAAGTAATCCTGGGTGGCATCTAGTTACATTCCAGATTGCAAGAAAGGGAAGTGAAAAAGTATATGAAAACTTCCTTCTTGAAATATTGTTGCCTTTGCCGAACTTAGCTTAAAAACTGCGTATAATGTTGGGCTTAAATAAGGAATAGGAAGTTTAAAATTATTTTACATGCAGTTCTAGTTTATTCTTTGTGCAGACTGATAAACAAGACTATCTTAGAGATCTGCATCTGCTCTGTTACAAGGGTTGATCATAAATTCCAGGGTCTGGTATTTTAATTGAACAAAATAAAAACGTTTTCTAGGATAGAAAATGAACTCTTTATAACCAAGGGCACAGCTTATAATCAATAGGCTGAAGATAAGATTCATCTTTTAAGTGTGATACTGCTTTTTCAGAGGTCAGTGGAGAGATCTTGTTACTTAAGAACCATATTAATTGCTCTGATCCATTGGTACCCAGAGCTTAGGCAGGCAGGAACTGTAGGCTTGAAATTCCAGCTTGGCATGGTAAAGAGTCTTAATTCTGCAGCTTTCCAAGAAAGGGACAATTTTTAATTTCAAGCACCCTGGTCACGTGAATCAATTTATCGCACTTGCAAGTGAACAAACGTTGAATGTCAAGCCATAACCCTTCTGCCTGAATGGAAATTTTAATCGGGACTGTGGAAGAAAGATAATTACCAAAAAAGACCTCTGCAGCTTCCCTGCTTGTAATCAGTGCTGAAATTACTGCTTGTATAGACAGTCCGCTGAGCGCTCTTTATGTATATGTGCTTATGCAAATAGAAGTCCTCTGCTTTATCCATGCCCTGCAGTGAGTAGGACTACAGAATATCCGGGTTTCCTTCTGTTTGAGGTAACCTCAGCATTTGCTATTGGGCTGCATGTAGCCCTGTGGAGTGCATGCGAGTTGAACAAAGGCACATCCTTGCCAGGATCAGCTACGTCACTTCTCCACAAGAGCAGCAAACCCCCCTGCTGCTTTTTCTAGTTTTGGCCATGCTTCCACCAGGCTCGCTTACCACTGACAGCTTCTCTGCTAATATCAGGCAGCCCCTCCTGTAGTGATGGGACCACTCTTCCAAGAATGGCTTAAACAATAAGCTAAATCATGCATGATGGTTATTGTACCCTGGTGTAGGAGAGTTTGAATCTCCAGAGTTTACCATCAAATGGAATGGTCTAATGACATGTAATCAAGTTGGTATTGGAGGCACATCAAACACTAGCTTGGATGACCAGATGAAGCAGAAAAACTCTCTGCTTACCCATCGAAACGCCCCAACTCTATCCTTGTAAGAAATGAGAAGAGGTGGAAGATAGATCAAGGTCTGTTGTATAGTGACCCTGTAACTCTGCTACGTATTTCTCCTTGTTTTTTTTAGAAATAGCTGCACTTTTTGATTTTGGGTGTGAGGAGAATGTGCAATGCTTTGTTTGTTTAAGCAGGATTAATATTTATCTGGAGTGGAAAGTACCACTGCTAAAACCTGTTTTCTTGTTTAAAAAGGAAGTTTTGTGTTACCTGTTCGATCCACTCTTTCTTACAATTGGGTAAGGCTATCCCAGGCACATCAGAGCTGCCAAGTTGGGTCATGAGCTTCATGGCCGTGTTGTTTACATAACTTGGGAAAAGAAAGCTAACAAATTGTCATTCCAAGTGTGCTTAGCTGTATGGTGCTTGGTGAGTGTTCCAGTGAACTTCAGCTTAATGCACACTGTAGGTTGAACATTCATAGAAACTTTACAACATGTTTAGCCATAAACATGAAAACATGTTTTCTTTTCACCTTATGTATTTCTGGAGAGTTTGATTGTATTACCTGATACCAAACTCTCTTTTTCAGGTCTGGGTCTCTTGTATATAACATTAGAGCATTGTATATAACATTAGTCATTAGAGCAATTATAAAAGAGAATAGAAGTTAAAATGTATTTCTTGGGGAAATGAGAACATTCTCTGCCTGGTGCCACTTCTCCGTTTTTAATGAATGCATTTGAATATCCTTCTCTATTGAATGTTGTGGTGCCAAATGGTAGCAGGTCTCTCTTCTTTTGATCTCTGCAGAAAGACTTCAGAGTTCAGGAACTTCCATTGGCACGCATTAAGAAGATCATGAAACTAGATGAAGATGTGAAGGTATACTGTGGAACATTTTCGACCCTGTGTAAAGCCAATAAATGAGTTCTGAGTTCATTTGATTTAATATTAAAACACCTCCCTGGAGGGTTCCTCTTTCTTTCCAGATTGGTAATAAGGTACAACTCCTCTTGCAACTGACCTGAAAGTTAAAATGCAGCATGCGGGGTTGTGCATCGTGATACACAGAGGCTATACATTCTTTGGGAGTATGCTAACCATCTCTAACTGAAGTGAAAATAGGTTACACATGTATGGCTCCCATTTTAGGCTGATTTTTCCATTTCTTACATTTGTAAATCCAGTTTTTAATCCCTCTTCAAGCAGAAATAGGCCACTATCTTCTCTTCTCTTCTCTTCTCTTCTCTTCTCTTCTCTTCTCTTCT